CCAAAATTGCTGCTATTGGTCTGAATGGGCTATAAGCGAAAGCCAAAAGAGCTTGTCAGCCTCTTTGAAGCTCTCCTGTTTGAAAAAGGGACGTGCCAAGCCAAGACAGGAGAGTGACAAGATAGAGACCCTAGTGTTTTTCCCTGAGCAGCCCGGCTCTTCCGCTTGATCTGCAACATACTAAAGGACGTGATGAAGCATTGAAAGACAAAAACCACACACACAAGTGGCAGGGCCGAAGAAAAGGTGCTCCTTAACAATGCGTGTAGTGTTTTGAATTGTGTATGCCACGGTGGCACGTCCAATCGAGGCGGAGCGCTTTCTCCAGACACGCATAAACACACACACACACGCAGAGGCACACACTCGGCCAACGGGACTCGCCCTTCTTCCACAAGGAAAGTTCACGACGCTCAAGTCGGACGACCATTTGACTTTCTAATGAGTGTAATAAGATTACATGCCTCATGGAAGCGTTTGTGCCAAGGCGACTTTCTGTGTTTAATGAGGTCCTAATACAAGGCAAAATCGAATTAAAGTTTGGTCCTTTCCCTCCCTCTCTTTTCTCTCCCGCTTTTCTTTCTTTCTTTCTTTCTTTCTTTCTTTCTTTCTTTCNNNCTTTTTTTCTTTCTTTTTTTTTTTCTTTCTCTCTCTCTCTCTCTCTCTCTCTCTCTCTCTCTCTCTCTCTCTCTCTCTCTCTCTGCTTTCCCCTGTTCTATCGCTTACAAGAATCCGGGTCAGTCTCAGCGCGGGGATACCTCATTTTTAAGACTTCAGGTACCAGAATCCCCAGCTATTGTGGGACTTGTAGTCCTCCAAAAGCAGAGCTTCCACTGTCCAAGTGGAATTTACTATGGATTTCCTCAGCCCATGACTTGGGGAGGGGGGTGTAGGAGGGGTTTGGAGCGGTCTTTCATCCTCCGATCCCATCTGAAATCTTTCAGGGGAGGGTGGGGAACTCCACGGCTTCCGTAATTGCTCTTGGAAAAGATCCATGCCAGGCGGGAGCTATCTCTGGGCTAACTAGGTTAATGCAATTAGCCCGCTGGAGCTGGCCAGGCAACCATATTGCTCCCCTAAATTCGCGGGCGGGAGGGTTAATTATAGACTTGGGCTCTGAGGTCAGCGTTGCGGTTCTCATCCGCCTGGCTGGACATCCCAGGTCGGGGCAACTCAAAAAACTACGCCCGGATCAAGCCTCCAGGCCTGGGCTGGGCATCTGGGATTCTCCCGGGGGACCCACCCGGCCCGCGACGTCTAACAACCGGCGGGTACCACGGGAAAATCAGCACCTGCGGCCATGGCCCGCAGCGGGAGCAGAAGCTGCAAGAGCAGCCCTCGGGGCAGCCGGAAAAACCTTTACCACCTCCGTGTAGACCCGGCCGCCTAAGGAGAGTGCGCGTCCTCGCGGGGAGAAGGATCTGATAGGCTGGAGCTGCACATTAACCCCTCCAGCGCCGATACCCTCGCTCTTACAAGGGCGGTGGTGTGTGCGTGGGGGGCTGTCACATGTCTACCATTTGCATCCGGTCCCCATCTCTACATTTTAAAAACAGCAAACGTTTTAGGGTGTAGTCTGCGGATTCTCTCAAGAGCCCAGAGTACCTTTTGCACAGCAGTTCTCAAACTGAAGATGTTCTTGGACTGCAATTCCCAGAAGCCTCCACCACTTGCTGTGCTGGCCAGAACTTCTAGGCGCTCCAATCCTAGAACATCTGGGGACCCCAGTTTGAGAAACACTGCTTTCGCACAGTGGTTTCCCAGTTTTGAGTAACCCAGGTGTTCTTGGGCTACAACTCCCAGAAATCCTGTCCAGCACTGCTAGTACTGAAGGCTTCTGGGAATTTTAGCCCAAGAACATGTGAGGACCCAAAGTTGGGAACCACTGATTTAGCAAGACAAAGGAAAGGCTCCGGGTTGTCTCCCGTTAGTTTCCCTTCGATTTTATTCCAAAAGGAGTTTGGCCAACATTAGTTAAGAACACACACACACACACACACACACACCCCTAACTGAGGAAGGATCAAACTAGAGCTACATGCCACCTGTTGACATTGGGTATAATCCAGACTGACACCTGGAGCAGATCACTGAAGTCAACGGGAGTTCATTTAGACACAGTAGATCAGCTCCAGTGGGTTTATTCTAAGTATGGCTTGAATCTGGAGCTAACCACAAAGTCATCTAGTTAATAGCTAATAGCTTCTCTGTTATTTTCAGGGTGCACCTTCCTCAGGTCCGTCTTGTGAGACGGATCTGCTTTGATCCTAATTTACACACTGGGAAGTTGTGAAGGTGAATTATGCAAATAACTATTGTTGAACAAAATATGACTTTAGTCTTAAAAGAGCAGGTTCCTCACTGTTTATATCACTCAGGCTTCCAGTTACTTTTGAGCATGCTAGCAACAGTTACTGCTTGTATGCTTTTAATAAATTACTTATTTCTCTAATCGGCCAATCTGACTTGTACCTAATTGATCGATGTTCTGTATATTTATCTATGGTAGAAAGCTTACAAAACATATCAGTTTGAAGGATATCCTGTACAATAATTCCTGAAAGGACATTGTTCCCCCTACTTTGGAAATACATAAGTAATTTCTATTGTAATAACAACTGCAGCAGCAGAAGTAAAGAAAACAACAACCCTTTACAAATAAACTTAAAACTGTCCAAGATTAAAACTTGTGCAAGATCAGGATGGTCTTCAGTAGGAAGACTACAAAGTTGTGCCATGTCCTTCCTCCATATCTTAAGTCATAATAAAAGCTGTTCAACTTTAAACATGTAGAACGGACATGATATAACTTTGTAGTCTTCCTACCATGCAGGAATACAATCTTTGCTTCTTCTCAGACCCAAAGATCCAATGGGGGGGAAATGAGATATTTTCATCTGCAAAAAATGTATCTGCCCATTCAAATCATAGGGCATCCTAAGAATGTTAATTACCTAACTGTTTCTTCAGGGTAATTGTCTAATATTTGTCCAATAGATAGAATCATGCAGTTGGAAAAGGTCTCAGCTTTCAGCTACATTCAGGAAATCCACAGCTAAAGCACCTCCCTCCCAAATTCCTTTCAGCTCTCTGCTTATATTGCCAGTAATGAACAAAATTTTGAATCCTACAACACACTTTAATACACATCTACTCTAAGAAAGCCCCAATGAGTTCATTGGGGGCTTAGCTTTAGTTGATTTCCAGAAGTTATCTGTGTTCCAGAGAATTTCCCAGAAGCGGGATGTAGCTGAGTTAGCCTGCTGCACCAAAACCAACAAAGAGTGCTGTTGCATCATGAAGACTAACAAGACTTATTCAGCATTAGTTTTCTTAACATATGAGCCACAAAATTGCATCTTAAGAAGTGGACTTAAGTACTTGAAAATCTATGCCACATAAAAATAGTTAGCCTTTAAGATGTTACAAGTCTCTTTGGCTGGAATGCTGCAGCAAGTTACAACTAGAGTAGTCCATTGAATCAGTAGGGATTTGGCGATTTGACTCCTCTATAAGTCCCTTTGATTCAGTGGGCCTACTCTAATGACAACTTACTAAGGATATCAGTCAATGTTGATTTTTACTTCTAGGTTAATCTATACACTTAGAATTGCCACCGAATGTGTTATGTTCCCAGTTTAGTAGGTTATCTTCTGATGCAAATAAATAAGTGTATACATAAGTGTAGGTGTATGTATATTTCTGAAGATACCCAGTGCAATGTAGTGGATAGAAGTGATGGACTAGGACTCTGGGTTCAAATCTGTCTAAGCCTCTCCTCAAATATCTTATTTACCTTGAAAGTCCTATTAGGTTGCTATTAATTGGTTCCAGCTGGAAGGTAGATAACACAACACACCATACTTCCAAAGGAAATTTTCATGGATGTTTTCTTCAACCCATAAAATCCTTAATTCTATGAAGGAAGGTTGCCATATGTTTAAAACGATTCTTGCTGCTATGATTTTAACCACAGGTAGACACTCAGGTATTTAGTAGGTAAAGCTTCTCCAAGGGAAGGTGGTAACCCTGCACTGTAGTACAAACTGTGATTAGGATCTTGCAGTTTGAATCAGGTTTTAAAAAAACCCTACTTTTAAGTAATTACAAGATACTCCTACCATTATTAAACATACAGTTACATATTAAGATTCCATATAAAAACAATTTATCTGGAATGTGTGAGACTATGTTATTCACAGTTTTAGCCAGATTAAGGCTTCAAAAATCTACCCTCTATTCCTTTACTTGAAATCACTAATTAAAATCACCTTTATTTTAATCGAAGTTTATTATTCATAGAACATAATCGACACATTCAACAAATGGTAATAAATTATGTTCACATTTTCTGGGAAGTGTTTTCTATTTCCAACAAAGACTTTTGCGTGAAAGGTGCTGGTGGAGAAATCTCAAGTTATTGCATATTTTTAAATTAGGATAAATTACATAAATTATACATTCAAAAGGACAATTCTATTTCTGTAACTCTATCAAGTAATAAATAGATAAATAAAAGTTGATTGCCATTAGAATACATTTTTTTTCATTTCAAAGTACATTTGAAAAACACACGTTCTTAAGAACAAATATACAATGATATAAAGGCTGGTATGTACAGTCACATCTCATGATATGAAGTCAAATGGTGGTTCATTTTCTATGTTGTTTAGAGAAGGTTTGTTGGTTAGCTTTCTGGGGTCTTCTGGAGTCCACACTTTAGCAGTTCTAATAATGTTTTGTTCCTTGAGTTGTTTTTCATCAGTCCAAGAAAGAGAATGCCCAGCTAGTGGAGGCAGTCCATAATCTGGATCGCTTGGAGAAGGTGATCCTAGAGAAGAGACATAAGTGTAGGGAGGAGGTCACTACTCAGTATGCTCTGGAAATACAATAAAGAATCAGCGCTCACACCAAGACATCTGTTTTCTCTGTGATCTGTCACAATGCAAGAAAGGGGTGGTCCTTTCTGATATCTTAGACTTCAGTGCCTGTTGTATGTACAGTACAGTATTACCAATAGTTAAGCCCACTCCGTCCCTTGGTCGTCATCATTACCATCTTAGAACTGCAGGGCTGGAAGAGACCCTATGGATCCTGGAGTCTAGTCCTTGTCAAGAAGGCACAATGGGGAATCGAACTCCCAGCCTCTGGCTCAGCTTTCAGAGACCTAAACCCTGAGCTATCCAGGTAGTGGTCTATAAATTGTAGATCTATCTATCAAATCTTAGGGAGAGATCTAATATTTGCACCTGGCAAGATATTTTTCCACATGCCTGACTGCTAGCAGAAAACCAAATCATGACAAAATGCAACCAGGTTTCTCGTAACAAACCTCTTGGCACGATTATTGGCGAGTTTTTCTTGAACCGAACTGGTATCAGGCTTTATCTATTAAACTTCCTGTTCACGCTACTTCGTATTCACTCAAAAAGACTAACGTGTCTGATATTAACTCCGTTCTCTAAGACTACAGTACCTAGGGACCAGACCTGAATCCTTGCAACCGTTTGAAAGGATTAAAGACGCCACTATGGATCATATCTTCAAGCGCTGGAGTCCAAGGAGGTAGGTATCTTTCCAGATCTCAAGCAACATAGACATGAATAGTCTAGGAACCGGAGATCCGGCTGAAGTGAACGCACATTTGAATACACAGTGCTTCCCCCCCCCCACTAATGGTTGTGCTGCGCCCTGTCCTCTCAACCTCGTGTCCCTATGTACGTCTGAACTCAAGGAAAAGCGAGTGTATCCGTGCATACCTCTTGCGTGCAATCGGAATGGACAATGCCTATGAGAAAGTCCGATCTGGACTGGGAACTCTTGGGTATATTTGTGCGTCAGGTTTTATTCATGCTCCTGCGGGACAGAAAAAGTCGGTAGCCTTTCTCTTTCCCGCAGTAAGGCAAGCTTAATTTTCAGAGGTGGACTCCTGGCGTTGCATCCATCCAACTAAGGGTAGGGAAACGGGCGAGTGAACTCAAGGGCAATGGCTAGTTTGGGGAGGGCGCGTTAGTACGAAAGACTTTGAGAGAGACCCTGCTTGGAACTGCGGTAGGACGCCACCGTGGGGTTTTCCTTCCTTCCTTCCTTCCGCGCGCCTTGCCGGGGTGTGGCGCGCCCTGCACTTACTTGTGCCCCGGTGGCAGATGATGACCTTCTTGGGCTGACAGGGGCTCTGGCCGCCGGGGTTGCGCAGGGGCAGGTCGGACTGGACCAGCTCGCTGAGGAAGTTGATGTAGCCGATGGCCAGGCGCAGCGTGTCCACTTTGGAGAGGCGCTTCTCGTAGGGCAGCGTGGGGATGTGCGAGCGCAAGCCCTCGAAGGCGTCGTTGATGGACTGCATCCGCCGCCGCTCGCGCACGTTGGCCGCCTGCCTGAGCT